AGGAGTTCTACTCCTGGCTGAGTGGTGTTTCTATTTTTGTTTCTTCTTGCTGGTACTGCATAGCTGGAAGTTGCCCAGTGCATGCAGTCCCTCAGGGAGCTTGCAGCACCAGCCCTGGCCTGGTGACCCCCCTGCTGTGGCCCTCCCCAATGTGCACATGGTGCTCCCCAGGCCTCATGCCACCCTTTTGGAAAGGAGTGTTTCCTGCTTGCCTGGGAGCTGTGGACCAGCCCTGGTCTGAGAGACCCCACAGACTTTTTCACCATCCATTGGACTGCAGCCACACATTTTTTTTTTTTTTTGAGGTCTGATTCTAAGCCACCTTCCTCTCCTTTCCATACTTTTTTCTCTCCTTGGGTATTGTGGTTATTCTTTAGGGTCCTGTTTATAACTTGAAAGTTTCTACTCCCTTACACTTAATAATTCTTTCTATTACACTTTCACTGGTACATTTACTGTGTGGCTGCTCTCTTCTGATTGGATTCCAAATGAATCAGGTGTTTTCTAAGAGAACATTATTATCCTTCTTTGGGAGATAAATGATCCTTATATATGCAGTAGCAGTGCATAAGGAAGGGCCAACACCAGGAAGGCGGAAACTGTGTATCAAAGGACTGCCGTGCAGAGAAAGCTCTGCATGGGCTGAGGCTGAGGAAGAACAACTGGTAAAAATTGTCTGGGGGCTTAAATGAGAGGCTTACTTAAAAGAGCATGAGCTCATCTGGAGAAGAAAACGTGCACGCTCTGTGGAGAGAATAGTGAGGGCTCTGTCAGGTGGGAGAAGGTGGCGAGTGAGAAGTAGGGGGAGGTAAAGTGGCAAAAGTACTTTGTGATCACATCATGGAGGGTCGTTAATACTAAGCAGAAAAGTTGAAATTTCTCTCAGTTTAATTTATAGGGCACATTCAATGGATGCTCAATAAGAACTGACAATAAAAATCTTATGTTTGTGTACTAAAGAACATATAAAAATGAAGGAATTGTAGGATGAAGTATGGAAACTTATTTATTATTCATTATTTTCTTTGCAGTTAATCCTATTTCCTTTTTTCTATTCCTAGAAGTATAGCTTAAAGATAAAAATTTCATTAAGACATACAATTCATAGGGCATTATTTATTCATCTAGATATTAGACTGTGGTGTTTATGAATATGGGACTTGTTTTCTTTGGCTATTCTTTTCAATAAAAAACACTGTTTAGTCTCAGTACCCGCTGCTTCTCTCTCTCTTTTAATGAATTGCAATAAGAAGTTCTTGATTTTTGTTTTTTGTTTTGTTTTTGTTTTTTGTTTTTTGAAAGAATGCCAAGATGCTGTTAATCTGTAGGATGCAAATAGGATTTATTTTTAAAAGGCAAAATAGTTCCTTTGTTTCCTAAGTATTTATCATTATTCATTTTATGTTCCTTATGTAAGATAATAGTCATGTAGTTTCTCTCTTTTTTTAAAGTACAAATCTTTGTATATTCATTGTGGAACATTCAGTGAATATACAAAAACAAAAACAAGAAAACAGAAGATAATTACAGCTCTCCCCGATAATACAGCTAACATTTCACTATATATTCTTTGTTTTTTTTTAACAGTCATACGTGCATGTTTATGGGCACATGCACATTTATATACATATGAATATGCATACATTTATACAAATGGATTTTTTACATATTTTTTCATAAATGAGTACATTTTATAACCTGATTATTTTACTTAACATATTGTGAATATCTTCCATTAAGTGATTTTAATATTATTCTTAATGACTGCATAATTATTCATCAAGTTGATTTACTGTAACTTTATAATTGCCTAATATTGATCATTTAAAACACTTATTTTTTCTCTATTTTAAACAGTGTAATGGTGAGATGAACATATTTTTAAAGCTATACCTTTGTACATATACACGATTGTATATCTAGTGTGCATTCCTAGATTTGGAATTGCCAGATGAAAGGGTATATATCTCTTTCAAGGGTTTTGATTTTTAGAACCCTTGAAAGAGATTGCCAAGTTGCTGTCCATAAAGATTACACTTTGAAAACAAATTATTATAAGCATATATTTTTTTCTCCTATGTCTTAAATGATATATTTGAGAACTTCATTGCTCAGGAGACTATAAGGAATACTTGTAAGGCCACATTAAAGAAGTTACATTAATTAAAAGTTAGTACATTATATGTGTGTGCACACAGATGTTTCATTATTAAGTCTTGAGATAGCTAAATTGTAACTAAATAGAACTGAATTCATTAGAAACCTGAGGGATTTGTTAGTTGGTAACAGAACAATTGTAAGTAAGCTTAAATTATAACCTAAAGAATGAGGGAAATGCATATTGTAGAATTTCCTGACTCTAAGATTTGGTAACCATTTATTCTGGGAGACTGTAGAAGTAATTTTTATAAGTTGATAAGAACAGCATAACATTCTCTATGCTTGGGATAATAGAAGGGAATCTTATGTCAAACAGGCAGGTACCTTCACGGTGCCTACTGGGTAAATCGCTGTTATATGAAGTCAATTGGCGAAGTTTAGATGGCTTCTTCCTTCCTGGAACTGTGCAGCAAATGCATATTATTCTACAATACTCGGAAAGTGTAGCAGTAGTCAGGTTGCACTGAAAGAAGCCCATTTAGCAGAAACATTGTAGAAATGAAAATCATCACTTTAAAAAAAATTGTGTTTAACTTGCATTGAATACCCTTGAAAGGCTGAATCGTTTAAATAAGCTTTATGTTGTGATTTTTGTCTTTCTAAAGATGAAATTGGTAGTTCCTACAAATTAATATATTTTGCTCACCCCATTTCCTCAATACGAAAATTATTGTAGCTTTAAAGTGCAACTGGCTGAAAATTGCTAAATGGTCTACATAGTAAATATCATCCTATATAATTAAAATGTGAGGCAAACCAGATTTTATTCCAAAGTTATTTTATAATAAAAGAAAATAACTCTTTGAAAGCCTGTAAGTTATTTAGAGAGCACTAGTTTAAAATTGACAATCAGAAGCCATAATTGATCTGTACTTGTAAAAATAATTTAAATGTACTTCTGCTATAATACGTCCCTGAAAAAAAAAGCAAAAACGTATAGCAGTGGACAAAGAGCTCGTACGTTTGGGAAGATGCTGAGGCTCAATCACAATACTAAGTAACATATCCAAGATCTCAGACCTCCTCATAGTTAAAAGCAACAATCGGCCTGCTCTGCTGTGGTGAATCCGAAAGACATTTCCGTAAAGCAGCCATGGACTTCAGAATGTGAATATAACCAAAAATAGAAACATCCTGCTTCTATAAATTGGGTTGTGATCCAGGATATCCTGTTAGAGAAAGGTCATACCTTCTCCAAAAATACATATGTTCAATTTATTTTTTTAGTGTGTGATCTACCAGAATCAGGAAGGGGGGTGGGGAAGAATTCCAGGTTACAAAAGAAGATGAAAATGGGGGAAGATGAAGTGAAAGTAATATCAGTAACTACCACTAGAGTAAGCTTATTCTATACTGATAGTGCTATTATATGAATCCTTCACAAAAGCTCTGAATCATAGAGTACCACCCAGTAGGAACCGGGCAAATTTAAAATTTTGGTTTCTTATATAGTAGAAGCACTCTTTTACCTTCCATGATTTGAACCTGTTGTTGGGGGTTAATTGAGCTGGTTAGACTAGTAGTCAATGAATGTTTAGTGTGTCACAGGTAAATGTTACTGTGTTTTAGGAGGAGACCCAAAGGGTTGAGAATTCTACAAGTTGGTTAGGAAGAGAGGTCTAAATGTAACCATTGTAACACGGGGCTCTTTGACACTACACCTAATACTTTGAACTTAAAATTACATCCTAGGGAAAAACTATAGTGTAGTAAAATTTTTGTTGTACCTTCAATGCAATAAATAGATATATTTCCATTTTTGTTATAATGTGTCTTTGTTAAAATACACAGTGATATGAGAAACACTGGTGAGTTTTCTCGAGAGGTCCTTGGACTAATACTGGCAGCTGATGTTTAAGTTCCGTTTTTGTACTTGGCTCTACATGACCTTCGCCTGCCATGCAGAGACTGTATGTTTGAGGGTGGGGCTGTGAGGTAATAGGAGGACAAGTGTCTTTATGTGCTGTGCCTCCCCGTGATAGATAACCAAAGAATAGTTATTAAATCAGGAAGTGGGGTGGATACTAGTGGTTTTCAAACCAGATTTCTTACAGCTATAGAAGAACATAGGGACTGTTGCAGAATTGGGTTCGATAGCTGTGGTGATTAGCTGAAAGCTTCATGGGTGAGGCTCCAGGTAGGTAAATCTACCCTATGTCTGGTACTCAGCTCTAGAAATTTGACATTTTAAACTTCAGTCCTCAAACTTACATTGCAAAGTGTCCTTTTTCTCTGAACTGAAGTTCAGGGTGGTCAGTACACTGCAAAAGATCACACAGCTTCTATAAATAGTGATTTGGGTATTAGAAATCACAAACGGTTTCAGTACCTATACGCTTATCCCATCTCCCTGCAATGGTGTTATGGATAGAGAAAACGAAAGATGCACCCTTTATGCAAATCAGATCCATAAGTTGCTGCTTTGTTTGTTTGATATTAAAAGGTCTCTGCTTAGTAACGCTAGAGATTTTTTAGAGTGGGATATAGATTTGAACCCGAGTCACCTATTTGACCATTCAAATAGTCAAAGACTATTTGACTCTGAATAAGTTACTATTAATTATTCCTCAATTTTATAATTTGTAAAATAGGAATAATAGCAGGTTATTGCAAAGAACAAATGTATTAATACACGTTATATACTCTGACCAATGTCTGTCCCCTAATAAGCTTTCAGTTTACTTGTTTGGTATCTTTCTATGTCTCTGTTCTGGACGACACCGTCTAGTGAGTTAAATTGAACGCAGAATGGACTGGCATTATTTCTGGCATCTTCTCTATTATTATATATTCCCTTTTGCTTATGTATTTATTTAGCGTTATATGTAATGTCATTTCAGGTTCCTATATGATAGTGGACTCCTCAGACCATGACCCTGGAGAAAAAGCCCGACTTCAGCTGCCTACCATGAAGGAGAACGACACTCACTGTATTGATTTCAGTTACCTGTTATATAGCCAGAAAGGGTCGAACCCTGGCACTCTGAACATATTAGTTAGGGTGAATAAAGGACCTCTTGCCAATCCGATTTGGAATGTGACTGGATTCACAGGTAGAGATTGGCTTCGGGCTGAGCTAGCCGTGAGCACCTTTTGGCCCAACGAATATCAGGTAATCATCTGTTCAATTTCTGGTTTATGCTTTGATGTTATTGGATCTCAATAAGTATATAATACTTAGAGGTAAATGCAAGCCCCATAGGAATGAGAGATCGTCTCTATAGCCCTCCCCAAACTTGTTGTTAAGGTAATGTTTAAATACCTTGGCACAAAACCTTCAAAAGTAGAGAAAATATTTCCACATAAAGAAAAAAAATAGTTTAGGTATGAAACTCATTGGCAAAGAGCTACTTATTGACAGATATATTTTTGTGTCTCTGTTCAGGAAGAAATAGTGTTTTTGATTGGGATGCAGTATTCACACTGCATTGATTTACTCGTTGAAAATAACATGTGGAAAATAAACATGAAATAGTGTTTCATGAAATATGTTATCTAAGGGGGAGGTATTTTGAATAAGCAAACACAAAAAGAAAAGCTGTCTACATGTCTTTGGAGTCCCCTCCCCTAGGAATGCGTGATTTAATTATGATTAAACCAGACAGTGGACAGTGTCAATATCTACTTTATGTTTTGTGTGACTGAGTTTATATGGTCTAACAAAAAAGTTCATTCACTGGTTTAGTGTTGTTCAATAATCCTCACTATGAGGTTCAGTTCCTGGAAACGGAGTTACCTCTTTTGAAACTTCACTTTTGTATTAGAACTTGAGATTTAAACTTTAATGACTTCCTTAGTTGTAGCTTATGATACTCGTAGAGCCAAATGAGAATGTGTTTATATAAAGCTGTATTTTATTATGTTCAATGGGTAATTTATAACTAAGAACAGTTTTATTACTGCTTTTAAAAAATAGTTATTTCTTTAGACTAGGTTTGTCTTTATTCCTGAGGGAGGGAAAAATTCAATGTATTGTTTTAATTGCTTTGTTTTGAGTTGATTTTCTATTTCATTAAAAGCCTCTTCAGAGTTTTGTTTCCACAGGTAAGGCTCTTCTCCATTCAGGGTTAATGTTTCTATTGAGAAGTCAGTGAATTTTCATTAGATACTAGTTGATTCCATTATTTAAGAACAGACAGATGTTTTTCTTCAGTCTGGGAGAGCAGCCTGCTTTTTCTTGGTCCACAGCTTTGGGAAGGCTGCCTATGTGGTGGTTAGGTCGGTGGAGATGTGTGAACCTAATGCCAAAGCGCTGGAGGCAAGATCAATTAGTAGGCTCATCTCTGATAACTGTGGGTTGATGGCAGTCATTGCTGGGTCACCCTCAGTCAGCATTGTCATTATATTGACTTCACAGAGAGTCTGTTATCGGAGCTTAACATAACACTGAAAAGGAAAATCTTTTACTCAGCAAAATAAAACTGTTGGTGGATTCAGCCTCCTTGAGATAAATTAAGGCCCAAATAACAAATGTAGCAAAACTGTTAAAAATTTGGATTCTGAAGTCATATTGTCTGCATTCAACCCCATTTGGCCTTTGCTACCTATGTAGATAGTTTTGTAAAGAATCAAATCGTTTGTTGTGCCTTAAAAAAACAGAAGTAGAGTTTTGTTATGGTATAGATTCTGCAATGTTAATTTTAATGTTGAACATAGTACCTAGAACTGGATGAATGCTTCTTTGTTCAGTCTTATTTTGCCTGACGAAGTTCCTTAGTTTATATGTACCTGTGGTGTTCGTAAGCAAGCAGTGCAAAGAGTGCCTATGTGAGTTTCAACCTGCCAGTGAGGTCTTTTTGGAAATCCCTTGTCAAAGAAAAAGATTATGAAATACATGGAGCCTATCAGTAAGTCCCTCTTTATTGAAGATTGAATTTAAGCCACAGATCATTTTTTAAGCGACTGCTTTGCTTTCACATCTTTTTCCTTAACCTACAAAACTTAATAATCAATAAGAGTGAATAGCAGAGTAGAATATTTTTCGTGTGCTTAGTGCTCAATAAATTATTTGATTGATGTTTTCATTGATTCTTCCATTTTAGATACATAGTTTGTATGTGTACTTCAGTGATTAGAAACAACCAGCATAACATAAACTATATGTAGCCTTTTTTGGTATTAGGAAATAGAATGGAAAACCTTTGACAGTTGCTTATAATAGAATGCTTACGGATTTTTTAAAATTAAAATGTAGCCATTGCAGTGTGTCATGTTAGATTCTTACTCATTTTCACTCTTAAAGAAGCACTGCTTATTTATTTTTAATTTTCCCCTGACTCTAAGTAGAGTTAAGATATGCATAGAAATTATTCTCCTTTCTTCCAGTTTACTCAATTTTTCTTCTCCAGAGAATTTGCACTCTCGAAAGCTTCTTGAACCTTTTTCCATAATACTCTAATTTTTCTAATTCCCTTTGCTTTCATTGTATTTCCATTGGGGAATCCTATATTTTCTTTGCTTGAGCCATTCCTTATCTGACCACTCCTCTAATCCACCCCCTTCTCATTAACAATAACATTAACATTATTGTTAACATTAACATTAACAATAAAACTATCAAAAAGAAAATAGCTTCAGAGTGCTACTATCTTTAATTGGTATGGGACAATTTTTGTACAAAAAGGATACTCCCGGGAATGAGAGGAAAAGTCCTTCGACAAGCTATCTCTTCTCTTTTCCATTTTTCTGTTGAACTAAACATCTGAAACAGATATAGTATATCTTTGGTATGATTTGTCCTTCCCAGAGATTCCATCTTGCCAGATGCCTACCTACACAGGAGGTTGACTTGGCGATTTAATCACTTATGCTGTGGATTATTCAGTAACGATGAGATACTAGTTTTAACCCAAAGAAACTAAACCTGTGATTTGTAAAAGGAAGAAAAAAAATAAACATGAAATTGTGAAATAAAGGCAAACATAACCCTCCAGAGAATGAATGTCGGGTACCTGGCAGAGCAGGAGATGGCCCATGAGCTTTGGGGCCAGCCCTTCCTGGGTGAATCTCCGTTCTGCTACTTATAGCTGCACAGCAGGGGACATACATTTCTTCATCCCTGTGACTGCAGTTTCCTCAAACTGAAAAATGAGAATCATAATAGTAACTACCTCATTGGGTTGTTGTGAGTATAAAGTGATTTAATATTGGGTTGTCGGAAAAGTCATGACCTATGTTTTCTATGTTTTTCGTTGCAAAGATGTGTCATGACTTTTCTGACAACTCAATGTATATAAAGTCTGTAGAAAAGTGTCTGACAGATAGTGTACACGTACCATAACATTTGGTTAACATTATAATGGGTAAACAAACAAAAAAAAATTGCAGACTCAACTGGATTTAATATGTGCTCAGGATTTTCTTCTGTTTTGAAATCATGCTGTGTTTTAAAAAGACTTCATTTTTTTTTTTTAGAGCAGTTTTAGTTTCACAGCAAAATGAGGAGGAAGGTACAGAGATTTCCCATACACCCTCCACTGCCACCCATGCATCGGTTTCCCCTAGAAGCTTCATCTCCCACCAGAGTGGTACACATGGATGAGACTACACTGACATTGTAATCACTCAAGGTCCATAATTAATCTCAACGTTCACTCTTGGTGTTTTACATTCTAAGAGTTTAGACAAATGTGTGACATGTCTGTCAGTATAGTATCATGCGAAGTATTTTCATTGCCCTGAAAAATCCTCTGTGCTCCCTCTATCCTTCCCTCCCCATCCATGCTATTCTTTTTAAGTTTTTTTTTGTTTTTTGTTTTGTTTTGTTTAGTAAAACTTCTAATTACTTGACAGCTTATTAACGTGAGATCACACCTTGCTCACCCCTGGGAATATACAGGCAAAGTCCCTCTACTCTTGAAGATTACAGTTTAGCTTGGCCCTGTAGGGGATAAAAATGTAAATCAGACGTGGGGTCTAACCTAGATGGGAAATGTGAGGTATACATAGATAAAAATTTTGAAATAATACAGCATTTGTTAAATGACTTAAGAGAGATACATATGAAATGTAGTATGGAAAATGAAAACAAAACAGATTTGTTTCCACAGTAATTTGGGACTAGAATTCTTGCCTCTTGATTCTTCTATTCCGAGATTAAATATGCTTTCCACTGTACCACACTGTTTTTCTTAAACCACAGTTAGTTGGAAATAACACTTTTATAGTGAAACAAAACAAGCAAATATAAATTTTGTTTATGACATAAGCCTTGTAGTGATACATTAATGTACAAGGAACTGTTTCTCATCTGTGTCTTCACAACAGTAGATGTTTTTTCAGTTCAGTATACTAATTATAGAAAATATCATATTATATTTCTTTTATTTGCCACTGTCACAAGTTGCTAATTCTGCCTGTTTTTACAGAACTCAGGTAAGTACTATAAGTTTTTAAGTTGATCACTAAGTAGAAGTAAAAATAGAAAAAGAAACATTCTGTGGTGTTATCTAAGTGTTAAACTTCAATGAAAGATCAGCACATCACTAAAAGTGTAATTTTCTTCACTCTGGAAACCTGACCTGTCTTGTATGTGCAAAACTAAGTTCTGCTTTGGGATTAAATCCATTAGTTTCTTACTGAACAGTGAGGTTGTTACCAAATGAGGCAGGCAGACATAACTTCCAAACTATTAGCGGAAACCTAATCTGCTGTTTTCCATTAACTGGGTACACATCATTAATCACAAAAATGCGTGATGAAAACTACAAAGGTTTGGCTAGAAATTGGAAAGTGATAATATAGCAGAATGTGTGTGTTTTGTGTGTTTTTTTCAACCTGCTAATTCACTGAGAAACAAACATTGAACTTTTGCAACCCGTTTTCTTAACATTTTTCATTGGTTTGAAAAAAAAAAAAAGAACTGAACAGGCATGGGATTTTCTGTTTTTGTCTCCTTTGTAAAGGTTTATGTTAAAATGCATTGCACTGATACTTTGGCAATTGAATGATTGTTACACTCCAGAGATACTGTTGGCTTTGGATCTAAGAAGATTGGAACTTAAACCAAGGGAATGTTTATTTAAAAAAACAAAAACGTCTCTAAAAGATTTATCTTTGGGGATAGGGGCTGGAGTAAGAGCATGCTTATGAGCCATCCATACAAAATGTGAG